CATTTAGGCTTGCGATCGCATAGAATGTTACATGGATATTTTCGGACAGTAAACGCTATAACTATGCGTTGATGAAAGATGAATTAAGGGAAAAAAAAAACCAAAACAAAACATGCCCTAAAATGATCTATGTGACCGCATAAGCCATTTAGGCTTGCGGTCGCATAGAAGGTTGTAGGGATATTTTCGGGCAGTAAACACTATAACGGTCGAATAGTCGAAAAAATGTGACCGTTGGTTAGGTTTTTTCGAATTTTCTGGTGGTTTATTGATGAAGCATTACACCTCTTGATTTGAGTTTGGAACCACTTCGTGTGGGATGGTTGAAACCTATAAATATTTGTTGTGCATATCAAATTTTACATTGATTATTCATCCAATTTTTTGAGAGAAATTTTTGTCCATTTACATAATCATTATTATTTTTTCACTTGTTTATTTGAAAATTCACTTTGCTTTTGGCGATTTTCATAAGGCTTGTTTAATCTTACAAACTATTTGCCATTAAATCCTTAAAAGCATTGTGGAGGAGACAAATATCGTTTGAGGACAATGATATAATCTTTGTATTCAAGCCTTTATCGAATTTTTATTCATCATTTTCTTCTCTCTTTTTCTCCATTGCTGTATTTATTTTTTCGTAACATTCTCAAACGATATTCGCCATTCTACTGCGATGGAGACGGAATCTGAACTCACTACAATCAAAATGATAAATCAAGACTTAATGTGTTTGGACAGATTTGATGGTGCCAACTTCACAAGATGGCAGGACAAACTTAAATTCCTCCTTACGGCATTAAAGATCTTCTACGTGCTATATCCAAAATTGGAGCCAATTCTTGATGCAACAGATGAAGACACTTGTGAGGTTCGTACAGAAAGAAAGAAACGGGAAGATGATGAATTAATATGTCGTGACCACATTCTATATGCACTATCGGGTCGATTATATGATCTCTACACCAACACCACTTTAGCAAAAAAGATCTGGTATGCACTTGAAAGTAAATATAAGGTCGAGGAGGAAGGTACAAAGAAGTTTTTAATTTCTAAATATTTTGATTTCAAGTTTGTGGATAATATTCATTTATTACCTCAAGTGCATGAATTGCAAATAATTGTCAACAAATTGATAGTGGTGAAGATCGAACTTCTCGAAACCTTTCAAGTGGGAGCAATAATTGCTAAACTCCTAGGTTCTTAGAAAGGATATATGAAGAAACTTCTTGACAATTTTGAAGACTTTTTCTTAGAAGATATTCAAAAACATCTTCGCATAGAGGAAGAGTCAAGGGCAAGAGATAAAAGTAAAAGTTCTTATGATGGCTCTTCGAAAGCCAATGCCGTGGACAATGTGGACAACTGCAACAAATACAAAAAGAAAGGAAAACCTCTTGGTCCCAAAAAGGATCAAGGGAAGTTCAAAAACAAATCAAGGGACCTTGC